TGTAGGGAATTTTTGTGGTCAGGGCAAACACCCCTCCTGCCGGACTTTTTACAGTTTCTTCCTTAAAACTGTGTGTGTGTGTGACTTTTTTATTGTTTCCAAAGGGGGAAGCATCTTCCTTAAGACAATACGTGTTTCATTTTGGAAAAAAAAAAATAGGCAAAATCCCTGGGGATTAGCTAAAAATGTTTCAAAGGAACAGTAAAGTAGGTTACTAATTAAGTGAGAATTGAGGTCAGATTGGAGTCAGGTCCTCACAATGATGGGGAAAACACAGGCACTGAAAGTGGGATAGCAAGTCCAAACTTGTGCGGCTGTATTCAGGGCAGAGGAAAGGGCAGGATTTGATTCCCCATGGAGCTATTTGCAGGGTTTTAGCTTGGTTTCTTAGGAGCCTGAAGCTGATGTGAGCAGGCAGCCTCTTTGCCTGCCAGCACATTTATCTCCCCCCTCCCAATACCTCGAATTCATCTCGTTTCTGACAAATCTGGAGCAGGAGAGAAGTCTCCGATTAACTTCTGAAGAACGATGGGAAGTGATGAGAAGTCCTTGGCCGAGCAGCCAAGAGGCAATCCASGGGGTGTCCTGGATAAGAGAAAGGAGGAATGGTTGACGTTCACCTCTTCGTCCAAGTGTGGCTGTGACGACCGGGCAGTGACGGGGCCTCCAAATTCCCAGGGTCTCTTTTTAGCCCGTTTGGGGCAGGATGATGTGGGGGCGCAGAGGCTGGGGGGAGGCAGGCACTACAGCGCAGGAACTTCATTTCATCTGCTCCTGTGACCACTTGTGGGTCGCTTGTGTTGGTATTTGCATTGCTTTATTTATTGGAGCACATGTATATGTTAGCTGGAGCACAAGCAGGRGATTTGGTGAGTAACAGAGCCAGGGAAACCATGTCTGTGTACTTCAACTTGAGCTGCTGGGTGGAGTCTCTGATGTCTAGTAAAGATTGGGTCCATGCTGTGTTTTTTTCCTCAGCAGGAATATTAAGAGGATATGCTATACAAAGCATATTTGCATGAAGCCTTTAGAGATGCACTAGTTTGTGCCAGCTACTCTCTGTCAATTTGATTTAAAATTGACCTACTCATTCAAATGCATTAGGGAAGGACATCAGAAGAGCACTGAGATGCATGCACCCTATGACTACACAACCTTATTTCTTTAGGAAGAGGATATCCTTGTGAAATAAGTATAAATAAATGCTTCCTACAGAATGATAAACAGCTAATTCTGCACGGTTATCACAATCATTTATTGCATACGTTGATCATGGCAATGTCAGCCACGATGTACAGGGTTTTTTTTTGTTTTTTAATCATACCTTGCTTATAATACAGGCTGACTGATCTTTGCCTGCTGATGAAATCAAAGACGCCGTGTGTGGGTGGAGGAGCACACTATCAGGCTGGAGCAGTTTCCAGAAATGCTTTTACACTAATTCATATCCTAGGGAACCACCACATTTTCACTGCTGCGCTCTGCATCTTTTAGCATCACAATTAATATTTCCTGCCAGCCATCATGCCTTCGATTCAGAACGGTAGAGAGATACCAGCATGTTCTGGAAACAAAGAAGGTAAGAAAAAAAACAGTAAGATCTCTCTCAGATACTGCAGACCCAGCTCTCTGTTAACACTCAAGTGTGTTTCACATAACAGATGCTGCTGAGCACAAGGTTTCCATTGTATGCGCTCATGCCTCAGAAGGGGCATCATTACATAGCTAGAATGGGAATATTAGTGTAACTGGACTCTTGCAAAGTCATTTCATTTAAGGAGAAGTGCTAATAGTCTGACTTCATCTGATCAGCATGCTGAGCAAATGCCTGTTGTTCAAGTGAGGCACACAATCCACTTATTATGAGGAGATTTTATGTATGGGGGAAAAAAAAGGGAAGCAGCAAGATAAAGAGTTCAGTCAACAGAGAAACCGTATAAAGTATTATCAGAGATATTCTCCTGTTTAGTGAAATCTCCTAAAGACAAAAGAGCTATAGTTTTTCCAAGAAGGAAATACAGAGCCTCTGAGACGTGGGGAGGCCACAGGCTTTTCCAGCAGCTCTAGGTGATGGGAGAAACTCCTGGGGATATTCCCAAGAAGACAATGTCCTTCTCTTTCATGGTGAGCAGAGCAAGGGTCAGGCAGAAAGGAGAATTAGCCCTGTAGGGAACATCACACTGCAGACTGACAGAGGCTCTGAATTGCCAGGAACGAGGAGCTGTAGCAGGCAGTGTTGGGAGGCCRTGTTTCCAAGAAGTAGCTTTTAAGGAAATAGAAGGTCATTTAATACTCCCGACAAAGGAGATTGTTCAAAACAGGTCTGTGCTTGTGACKCTGCCATGTTCGTGGGGATTCCTGCTGTTTCTGTCTGCTTTGAAGGAACCCTTTGGGGTGGTTAGGTTGTGTGTCCAGGGAAGGGGCAGGTGAAATACAGCAGTGCCCTGGTTCCCCTGTCTGAAACAATGGGATTAGATGGTAGATAATTCCTTTGTATTGTGTTAACACCTGCTGTAAGACCTTCAGTATAGACTCATCTTGGCWGTTTTCAGCTCCTCTGCTGTAAAGCAGTTTGGTGTGTTTGGGCACAAAACTCTTCACGGGAGCACTATAGTAGAGGATCTTCCTAGAGACATATTCAAATCCCCATGTCTTAGCTGCAGAACTTTGCCTTGAGTTATCAAATAATATTAGAGACAAAGGGGCACCCCACATGTGCTGCCAAGGCACAGGGACCCAAAGAAGCAAGCTCAGGGTGTACTCTAGTGGTACTCTGATCTTGGGGGTCTCTACAGCACTTCTGATTGAGAGGACGGAGGTGCCTGTGGGGTTTGAGATGGTCCTAGGCTCAGGAAGCCTGTGCATCTCTGCTCAGTCACTGCCCACTTCCCAGGGGCCCATATTTCATTCCCCTCAAAGAAGCTTTCTGGGAAAATACAGCAATTCCCATCTATCACTTTGCCCCAGTTTAGGGCTTGGTTCTGCTATTGTCCTGTATTCAGAATTTGTATACTGCAAAGAATCCTGCCTGCAGCGTTGGCACGTTGACATCCCATTTCCTTCTGCAAAGAAGTCCAGGGAAATTCTGGACATTATTTTTGTTAGAGCTGGCCTGCAAAATGCTGATGAAATGAAACATAAACACATCGTGTTGGGATTTTCATGGGAAAATGTTATTGAACTGTTTCAGTATGCCTGGAATGCTTCTCCTCACTTCTAACGCTCTGGCTTTGTCATGTCTAGTATGTGTTACAGATAACATGTTCCAAAGGAAACATTTTAACTTTATACAAATAAAAAGTAAGATCAAAATGGAATGTACAGAAAGCTGTGACTTTCTAACTTTTTCTTTTTTTTTTTCACAATTTGGGATAACACCATATTTTGCAATCTCAGTATTTCCTATTGGCAGCAATTCAGATCTATGACCACTGGTGGAATTTATATTTCTTTCCCAAATGAACTGTAATAAATTAACTGTATTTATTTCCTCCTCCCTCTTGTTACTAATGAATCAGACAATATCAGTGCAACAACATGCTTTTGGAATTAAGCACTGAGTGAGTCAGGAGGGATGAAGATGCAGCTAGAAGTGTATCAACAAAGAACACCACTGTAGTGACTGCTCCAAGCAGTGAACTAGCAGAATTTTACTGTCATGGAAATGTAGAATGTCTTGGAAGAAAACTACAGACATGAAACTGAGAACGATGACTTCACCTATCCTTAATCCAGATGCCGAGTAGAATAATTAACCCTTAATTCCTACATACACACAAAAAAGTTCTTGTATAGTACATGATTTTGAATAAATACAGATTGCAATGTCAAGTTCTTGATTCCAATTTTTTATTAATGGAATAGAAAAATAAAACCGGGTTTGAACTGTCTAGCAAAGCAGTGCCTGGTAAGGAGGGCATTTCAGCCTTTTATTTAAATTTATTGTCTTTCTTAGACTAGTGCAGAGACTTTTAAATATTTGTTTTAAACATGAGCTCCTGAAATTAAATAATATTTTCTGTTTAGGAACTTGTCTGARGATTATGGAGCAGAACCCTTAATAGCTCAGAACTCAGAAATATGAACTTTATACTGAGAAGGCATAAATCTCCTTTTTCTGCATGGTGGGGTTTGGCAGGTGAATATGTATATATACATAAGTGCATGCATAATCACACACACATATACATGTGTATGATGCATTGCTGTAATTTCATGATATTTACTTTCTATAGGCATTATAAATAATTATAATAATATATAAAACATCTGAAAAACAGTTCAATCCCAAAGCTTGAGGTAAGGAGCTCTTACCTCCTCTGAATGGTGCTGCTAGGACATGAACCATTTTACTTCCTRGTTGGCACTAGATCTTCTGAGAGGGAGAGGAAAGTTTGGCTCCAAAATGAGGAGCACTTTCCTCCCTGCAGAACTCAGGTGCAGTCAGGGCACGTGGCCTGTGGGGAAGTGTTTCATAGAAGCTGCTAATAATAAACTCTCTTATACTGATAGGATTCATACTGAAAGAATTGGCAGCACTTGAGGATGGGTTAGTCATTGAGAACATACTGAAAAATCCACTGGCTTTCCCCCAGCACCTTGTGATGAGATTGGTGGAGGTTTTTGACATTGTTTTCCTAAAAAAAAAAATAAATAAATGAAAGATTACGTAGCAGGATTGGCAGCCTATAAAAATTTCCTTCCTCTACATGGGCAGGAAAAAGGTTAGATTTCTTAGGAGTTTTCTTAGTAGGGAGTTTGTAGTAGCACAGAAACAAGATCTGGGCATAAATGACTACTCTGGGAAATAGCTGCTAAACTTGTACCTGAAGCATCACTTTGTGTAAAGGTGTTTCTAGCATTTCTTTTTTTTCTTAGTATTCCCAGACAGGCAGCAAACACGTGGATCTGCTTGGATGATGAGGAAGATGAGGCTTTCCCGTGGACTCCTCAGGGGAAGCAGCAGCAAGGGGGAGAAAGCAGCTGGGGAAAATGCAAGGATGCTTCCCAAGACCACTGGGGAAGAGAGAAGCAAGCACGAACCGAAGAAGAAAGGGAAACTGAAAAACATGGCAGGCAAATTGCTGAGGACTATAGCTGGGGGGAAAGAAGCAGCTGAAAAGATGCTTGAAAATGAGAATTTTRCAGGGAATTTGATTGAGATTGCAACATCCAAGAAGGAAGTAGAAAAGAGATCTGCAGGTAAATATACCATGGGAGGTGATATCTTTCTGCTACTCTCTGACCAGCCCTGGTCCTTCTCTGCCTCTTCCAGACCTGGAGATTCTTGTTTTCATATGCTTCTGCAATAGGTTTTTTAAGCTTTCCCCTTCACTGTCTTTCACTTACTTATATGTTCTTTCTGAACTGCACACTCATTTCCTGGAAACGTCTGAATTTTAGTTTCCCTTTGCCTCAGAAGAATTTCSCTGTGATGTTCCTATTTTTAGCGTTGCAAAGACTCCTGATACATCTTGTAAAAGAAAAAGAAAGGCTGCTGCATGTGCGACCTGCGCTGTGTAGGCTGCGACTGTGCCGCTTCTGTCAACGTGGAGGGGAGCTGGGGTGGGTGCAGGTTAACAGCAGCACCAGCTCCGGTGTGTGGTGTGCGTTGAGGGAGAGCACAGCCTGCTAGACCTGCCATTGACCTTGCCGTTGCTTTGCTCAACATGCCTGCCTCAGCCCCTCTCCTTTTTGTGTCACGTACCTCTCTCCTTGTCTTGTTCCATTTGACTCTAAATACATGGCTATTTGCACCCAGGAAAATTAGGATACACGTGATATTTATGAAAGATAATAAACATTCATTCTTGACTCTGCGTCACGACCCAAAGTTGTATTTTAAATTGATTCCAGAGTTTCATTTCTTATGTCCCAGCTTAATGTTCTCTGGGTTCTCATCCAGTTTCATTTCTCTTCTGGGCTCTGCTCCTGAGACTTTAGTGCAAATCATGTCCACCCTTTGTTACTCAGTTTCCTCATCTCTAAAACACAGGAAAAAAACCACAAAGCTTTGTACAGCTATTTTAAGAAAACACTTAACTCAGTGGTGTGCTGAGTGAGGCAGGTAAGAATCTTTGGAAGCAGCAGTAAAAATCTTCTCCTTCCAACCTGTCCACTTTGAGGATTTCGTACCGGTCTCTGCAGGGCGTGTGGTGACTGGGCCGGTGCCTCCGTCGGAAGCCACCCRCAGCTTCTTGCAGAAATGGGAAGCATTTTTAGTTCACACTGCTGACGTGGTGTGGATAACCCTGCTCCGGATGAAATGGCAGGCATGGGCAGCCCTCAGATAGGTGCGAGCTCCCTGCCAGGCCACACGCTCCCCAGCGGGAGGCAATGGGTCTGGCTGCAGGAGCATACAAGGGTGTTTGCAATGACTTTTTTTCCTATTTGTTTTTCTGTAGAAAAGATGGAGAATGGAGATGGAGTCAAACCTACCAGGCTTGACTTTCAGCTGTTTTCTCTTTCACAAAATATCCAATCTGATACTTTTTTTCTGGACAAATGGTACTTTTCTTGATGAAAGATAGTAATTAATAAACCTGTATTGCCCACCAGAGCAGGCCTACTGGGATGATCACAGAAAACTGCAGAAGTTTTGTCTTCAGGTTTAGTCTTGAGGAGAGCGGAAACAAACAGAAAGCAGAAATTATTTGACCTAGGGAAAGTGAGAGGTGACAGTGGTTTGCTTCAGTGAGTGAGGTGGTCTTGAAAAGAAGCTGGATTGGGCTTGGGGTTCAGGTAAACTACACCCATCACTATTCAGATATTAAAGTGATGGGCCCCGTGGGGGAGCAGACAAACATCAAGCTGTGTTGTTACTCTCTCTATTGCAGAGGAAACCATCCACGGATTCATTAACCAAGGGAAACCTTTTGAAGCTTGTAAACATATTTGTAACCTGGAGTGTTCTGGAAGTGATGGTGTGGAAAAGTGTGAAAAACTTTATGCCCTGCTGGCTGAAGAGATGTGGTCCATTGTGGAAAAAGCTTTCAGCGGATGTGACAGGATGTTCCTGGAGCCCTTGCAGTCAGTGAGCGAATTGCTGAGGTGGGAGAAGGAGAAGAAGAAGGAGTTGTTTGGTAGCGGCCAAGAGATGGAGCCTGTTTCCACCTGGAGTCCAGGATTCTGCAAGAAAGACTTGGAGGACAAGCTAATTCAGTACATGACAGCTCAGATTCCTCCCTTCAATTCCACTAATAACACAGAYGAAACTACATTAAAGCAGCATCTAAGAGAACTGGAAATGACTTTTCTGTCCAGCCTGGAGCACAAAAGTGGTTTCTTCAAGGAAGCAGGTCTGCTGCCCATCTACACCCACTGCTCTCACGCCTGCCTGTCTTCTCACCTGTCCACCCTCACTGACATGAACCATGCTAGCTTCAGCCAATGTCTTTTAGTTTATGAATGGTGCCTTAAAATGTACCAAAGGTATGTTCCAAGGGATCTTTCTGTCYACACTTACTATTGTCCCTTTTCCCTGGTTCTGAGCACAGTCTCTGTTTCCTGTTAATACAGCAGAGAGTAAAAGCAAACATTTGTCACTAGGTTTAGACTTGTCCATCGCCTATTTTATCCTCCAAAAGAACCTAGAGCTTTTTCTCTTTGTATTATTGCCTTTTCTAAATCCTTTTATGGAGCTAAGGAGCTTAAATGCAAGCTTAAATGCAGATGTTTCCCTACTGGTGTCCTGTTGGACATGCTTGGCACCTGCTTCCCTGAACAAGCTGGCAGGAGCTCACAAAGTTTAGCCTCTTTTTAGCAAGCATTTCAAAATAATTTTCACTTGCCTTTTCATGAGCTTTAAGCTATCTTGACCTCTCTTTTCTCCTGGACTTTCCTTCCATCTTATTTGACTTGTAGTTCCACYGAAAGTTTCCTGCATCAGTGTTCGGACCATAGGAAAAAGACACAGCTCTTCACTAAATTCCTACCTAAGTTCGAAAGAASAGATGGGTTTTAACCCATGTTCAGAAGAACAGTCATCTGGGACCTGTTGGCCCCATTTGAACTCAGGGTCTTTCACTGGGAATACCTGTAGCTGATGTTAAAGCTCGAACTTGCCTGGCTTTCTTGTGCTCTGTTTCCCGTATGGCAATATGAGCTGAGAGGTTTGATTCCCTATATCCATGGTTACTTTGCTACTTGACAGCTCTAATCCTTTTCTGTCCTAACAGCTATCATCAGTTTTGAGTTTTTTGATTGCTTCCACCCTTGCCTAGAGCTTCTCTTCCTTGGATTAATTGCACCCGTAAACGCTTGCTCAGCTCATAAACAGTTCATCAGAGAGACTCTTCCCTCAGCTCCATGAAGGCAGGATGATGAGTACCCTTTGGTGCGTGTTCTTTGCAGACATACAGAACAAATGTGGACAGTACTATTCTACCAGTATTTCTATAGGTTTAAAACAGCTTTGTTTTTATATATGAGTAATACGAGACACGATGAAATGTCAAAACTTACATGAAATTGGAGGTGAATAGGTGAATTGGATCTCTTAGTTTAAATATATAAAGGAAAGCACAAGGACAGGAAAAAATACAACTGTACAAATGTTATGTCAATGCTAAATTTATTCAAGAAAAAAAAAAGGACAGGAAAAAATACAACTGTACAAATGTTATGTCAATGCTAAATTTATTCAAGAAAAAAAAAAAGGAAAAAGAAAAGAGCAGACCAGTGATCGCGGTTAGATGGAAAAAAACATGAAGAAAGTGGATATGAGAAGAGAGAGGTCAAATTGACTTTATGAAAAAAAAAGTCTAATTATTTGGATTTTTCTCTCTGAATATAATTACACCTTTAGGAAAAGTTCACATATAGAAACAGTTTTCCCAGTACATAGGTGCTTTTTATTACAGTCCCCTCTCCCTACAGACATAATATCTGAGTAAAAATAAAGTATTTTAAAAGTGTGTGTGTAGGGAGGTGGGTTTGGAAAAGTGTACCCATGCTAAAGAAGGAATTTGGTGGCAGGAACGAGGGAAGGGGGTTTGGAAAGAAGAAGGTGTAACTGGGCAGCAAATACAGGAAGAAGGAAGAGAGAAACAGTAGAAAAGAGTAACTGGCAAGAGGACTGGATAAGGATCCTCAGTGTTTCCGGGGCTATTCCAGCACTGCCATGAACCACCTCTTGCCTGAGCTCTTTTTTTTATGTGTGTTTATGCAGTGGCAACTGCAGCCAGACCCTTCGTGCACAGCACCTCATGTGGATTATTTTCAAGACAGAGGAAAAGTTACTYGCAATCACCCAGGTGAGAACTCATGACTTTTACCTCAGTTTAYTACTCCAGCGAAGGGATGCTGGGACGTTTGCATGGTCTCTCTTCATCCTGTTTATGCATCTTCACAGAGATGAAATCTGCTCCGAAACGGAGTGTTTGCAGTAAAGGGAGGCTATAGGTGACATCCACTGCCTTAGGTGGGGCTCATTTCCAGATGCTGTTCATCATCTCTTGCCGTTAATGAACGTAAAGCGTGGACTAACTTTCTCAGCACCTTTGCATTAGGTATTTGCAGGGTATCTGCAGGGTATTTGGGCTGCTGGATTGCTTATCTGTGGACCTGCTCCCTGCTAATCAGACCCAGCTGAGGCTTTCACAAAGATTATTCCCAGAGGCCTTGACAAGCAAGCAATGCTTGTCAACAAGCTAATGCACCCCCAGCATAACTCTCCTGCAAGGCTGGAGCAGGGTGTCCTGCTTTGCAGTCCCACAGAGGACCTCAGCTCCCAGGCTGTGGGATCCCTTTCTTTCCCAGCCAGGCTCCTCCTTTGAAGGATGCTGCCGAGGTGCATGGAATACAAACGAAGCTGGGGAGATGCCTTGGAGCAACAGGGAGGGCCAAAGGAAACCACGCTGTTTGGAAAGCACAGCAGGGCCTCCTGGATTCAGCTACAGCCAAATATCAGCRGCAGAAATTGCTACATTCGCCTTCTCAGTTTCCATTTCTGCTGGCCCCTGGCAGCAGAGGAGGGGAAATTCCCTGACAAACTGCTGATTCACCCTGGGAGGGTGCTCCGCAGGCCCCGCTCCCTGCAGGAGAGCCCCTAGGTATCCACAAGCATGGGTGAACAGGCACCAGCTGCTGACAAGGTGCCTAAAATTTACTAATTTGTGTTCAAAATTGAGCATCTTTATGAGCTGTTTCAAATCAGTACCTTGAAGACCACGTGTTCATAAGGTCTGTTTTTTAGCACATATTTCAGCAGAGGAAATGACTATTGGGCTTTCCCTATGGGGCATCTTAGAAGTTATCTTAGAKCAGGCCACTGAGTCAGTGACAAACCCTCAAAGAGGCCAACTAATAATGAAAGAAAATTTAACTTTTTTTTTCCCCTCTGCAGTATCGACTAGAGGGAACTTTCCTTTGCTCAGGGACATGTAGTCTGGAGCGGGCTGGCCCGCGTCTCTCTGGGGTTACTAGCACTTGTGYAGCGTCCCAGCTTGGTTTGTGCCCGGTAGGACCGGCCCCAGGTTCAGTCTAGCAAGATTCAATGGACATGAGCATGGAAAAAATTATAAATGTGTCTTCACCCAGCGCATCGACTTAGCTTGTAAAACCTCCTTCATCCCTTTATTTCTTTTTCTCCAGCATACTCCAGCCCTTCATTATTCCATATAAATAGGGAGCTAGCATGTTTATTGAAGGGATATTCCGTGACTTCTGACTGATCACAGTGTATAATTGCGACTGCAAGTCATAAGGTGCTGGTTTTGCCACTCGGATGACTACATTTTTCTAATTGAAAGGAGACTGAACAGAGAATAGGCAATATTCTGTTTTGGCTATGAATACCTGGCTTTATCACAGGGAGTGCCAGCCAGCTTTCCATGCAAACTAAAAGCATTTGCCTGTGCTTTCAACAGTAGAGAGCACGGAGAGCTGTGAGCACATCAAAGGATGCTGAGAGCTCAAACACCATGTGGGGTTCAGTGTGAGCTCCYAGCCCTGCTGTGGGGAACGTGGCCAGCTCTGCAGTCAAACTGCTTTACCCCAGCTCTAAAATGACCAGGCAAAGGGGCTTTGTGCATTTTGAAGTCTGAGGAGTTGCAAAGCTGGTGAGGACGGTGCGGTTTGTTGAGCTGGTGATGAGTCACCTTGTCCTTGCAGTGGTGGGGAATTGATGATGAGACACGGCTGCAAGGCAAAACTTCAGAATGCTGCCAGGTCTTGGTGAGATGGGGAGGGACAAGGAGGGAGCTGAAGGTTACCTGTCTACTTATCTACTTGTCACGGCAGAAACCCTGGTCCTCTCCAGAGCAGAGCTCTGGAGCCCGATGCCCACACAAGGACACGGGCTCATGCTCATCATCTGACCAAAGCAACTAAGTACTCTGGCTCAACAAGTTATTGCCCGGCAGTTAGTGACTAAGCACAAGCTCTGTCCCATTGTGGAGCAGGGCCCTYGTGTTGATCTAAGCCCACGCATTTCACCTCGCAATGGGGGCAGGCTAAGAGTGTTTGTGCAGCCCAGCTCATATGGGCTAGCTCAGCACATCGTGTTAATACAACTGTGTAGTCAGGTGACAGCCCTCTGGGAGAAAAGATTTTTTTTCCCCCTGGATTGTTTACCCCTGCTGATTTGTGTCTGATTAACACTTTGCAGTGAGTATGGCAGAGGAGCCATTTTGAATATATTTTGGTGAAATTCTTGAGGGACAGCCTTAATTTTGCTAAGATAAAAATGGAAGATGTGACCTTACATACTCTCCATTTCTCAGTAGAAAGATGGAGAAATAAAAGAATAAATAACTAAGCCAGGTGCTTGAGTTCAAAGCCTCTATAAAGGTCAGATCRTGTTTTAAGCAACGAGCCCTTTGTCTGCGGTGTGAGTTCTGTTTTTACAGTATGATCAGAAAAACCCAAGCCAGCCCAATCTTGGGAAACTWCCCCATCGGGCAGCCTCCTGGGGCTTATCTCGTAGCTCTGAACACTAACCCGACTCCTGTTCGCTCTCATCAGCCCCCGGGTTGAGCTAGGGAGTACTTTTAATTAACACTGGCTGGTTTACGTGGGTGAAGGCTGGAGCGGGGARGAGTGGGCGATTTCAGCCCCGAGARCTGACTAGCGCATCGGGTCTAAGCGCCGTTTTGCTGTGTGGGCGCCTTCATCTGAGCTAAGCTAAGTCGGGAAGACTGCAGATAACCCGAGCTGGCACTGGGCTGAAAGCAAGCTCCAAATCTTTTAAACTCAAACAGGCCACGGAGAACAAAGCAGAGCAATGTCATTAGTTCAGCTGGAAAATAACCAGGCTTTGGGATAAACAAAACGGTCAAAAATTAGAGGTGGGAATTTGTCTGGTCCAGAAGCGAAGMGATGAAAGGCTAGCCCACTGCAAATGCCAGTGTATCTTAACTGTTCTTTTTCCTTATTTTTTTTTCCGCTATTTAGAAGGAGGTAGAGGCAGCCCTGAAAGCAGCCTTTGGCATGGAGGGATCCCCTGGTGCCAGCACTGCAGTCATTCAGGTAAATGGGTGAGGAACTGAGAAGCTCACATCCTTTGAGGGAGACAAGTTGCTACTCACTCCTGTGTGGGTATTGGCAGGACCCGGCTYGGTCTGTCCCGAGCTCAGCATGTCACAAGCTTGCAAGCTGACACCTGCCCCTGTGTGCCCTCAGACCTGTTCCTTTTCTCCTGTGCCTATGAAAGGAAAACTAAACTAACCCCAAAACACTGAGCTYGAGATTAGCTGATTCCAGCTGAAGTTGGGTTCACCCTTGGGATTTCAGGTGGCTCTTTGGGAAGTCTCAGCGTATTTTCAAGCAGCAAATGCAGCTGCGGTTGCCCTGCGCCTTGCAGGTGCCCTGCCTCCTGTGCAAGGATGTGCCTTCAGCATCAGAGAAGCAGCCGTTGCAGCACAGCTCAGACCTGGGCGACTGCTCCCTCCATTCACCCTGCTTGCAGCAACCCCCTGTATAATCAGACAGTCCTTAAAAATACTGCCGGCTCCTTTTTCTCAAGCCAACACCTAAAGATCAGTTGGAAAGCAAACCAGGCAACTGATCTGGAAACCCATCAGCTGGAATTTCCTGATCGCTTTGGGTGGGCAGTTTTCTCTTGTCCCTTTTGGTGAACTTTTTTATCTCTCCTGCATGCAGCAGGAAAAACCCATTCATGATGGGAGTCGCCCTGTGTGTCGCTGTGACTTCCTGGAGCGCTCAGGCCTGGAGTCCATCTGTCTCCCCTCAGCCATCTGGCTCCCTGCCCCTCACAAGCTTCCCTTTCTGCTGAGCAGCTAACGGCCGGCATGAGTGGCCACCTGCTCGGGCCTCTCCTATATGGGGTGGCTTTGTCTGATCCAGCCCACCTTCCACAGGCACCAAATGGGTCTGGGGTGAGACCATGGCACGGAAATGAGCAGCAAATCTCTGCGAGGCCTGGGCAGCCCTGCTGGATGTTGCTAGCAGGGAGCACTGCTAGGGAGGGCATTTTCCCTAATTTCTGCACCCTGGTCACTGCAATGGAAGCAGCAGCAGCACAGAGGTGTGGATGGGGCTCCCACCTCATACTTCATGTATGCAAGAAGTTTCAAACCCAAAATATTGCCTTAGAAGCGAGTGGGATTTGCAGCAGAGTGGGAGGTATTCCTGTTCACTGCAGGAAGAGAAAATGACTTCAGCCCGCTCTGCTCTTGCGTCTTGAAATGTGCAGGCGATAGCAGRGAAGACAGAGGCTGCCCAGCGCGTCGGCAGGAGCCTGCAGGAGCGCGTGGGAGCCGTGTGCCTGCAGGAGAGCCTGAGCTTCCTCCAGAGGTAGGAGAGACGCTGCCTCCCTGCCGGGCACGTTGGCARCGCTCGGAAATAGAAATCCCGGCGAGCGCTTGGGGGCTCTGCGCTCGCCTGGAGCTGCTGTTCCCCCTCTTGCGTGGCTGGTAATGCAGGGACAGCAGCATCTTCACGGCTCTTTAAGTTCTCAGCGTCTGCTGTCAGAGCAGAGTTGAGGGGACAAAGTTGGCCCAGGCCTGTCTGGAAGGTTAAACCTTGGGGGATGTTTATTCTGGAGCTGCTCAGACCTTAAAAGCAACACGTAAGCACTGCAGCCACATGGCAAATGCCAGGCCTGGCTSCTAGGATGTAGAAGAGCTTGGATCCCTCCTGAGTTCATCAGGGTTTGCATGAGGCCCTGAATAAGGACTACGGGAATGGGACTGTGCCCATAGTGGAAACACTGGCTTTTCCTACCCTCTGCGCACTTCCTGGGTGCAGTGGTTCTTCCAGGCTCCCCGAGAGGGCCAGGAGCCTGTTGTAMCTCTCTGATCTACTTTATATATACTCATAAATATATTTATATGTATAAACTTAATATATTAATTAATTATTTAATTATTTAATATAATTTTCAAATTCATTTTAATATCTGTTACCTCTCACATTATAAAGAGAAGGGAATCTCTATAAAACAGAATCGTCCAAGAGCCATCTGTGAGACTGAAKCAATCCATAGTCTTCATGGGCTGTTTACGTTCACTGAGGCTTTTAGTCTTCAGCAGCCTTATAGACAAAGCTCAGCTGCTTCCAGGAAAAAATACGTTCCTGCAGCAGCAGTGATTAAATGATTCTCCTGCTTCCTGATCCATGCACTGCAAAGGATGTCCCTATCCTGTGACTGAGCCGTCTTTGCTCTCCAGTGGGGCAGGACAGGGACTATCTTTGTCCTAGTCTAGAAATCCTCTCCTGGAGTGAAACTCTGCACAGTAAAAAAGCAAATTATCATGAGATATTTCTCCCATTTGCTGCCAGGCTGCTGCTGTCAGCTACATGACAAAGAGCACCAGCTTGGGAATATATCTCCCTGTTTTAATTTAGCTATGAAAATGAAGTAAGAAGATTTCTGCAGCCCAGTGACCRGCTGGTCAGCAACAGCCTACGAGTCCTTGAGAACTGCTGCATTCTCAGGTCAGCAAAGAGACCCTGGTGCCACGTGAAGTGAAATGGGTTTTCTGCTGTCTGGTCTTGCTCTCCCTCTCTCTGCCATGGGGTCAGCCTCACCTCCGTCTGGGTCTGATYGTGGGTCTCCTGGTCGCACTCAGCAAGCCCCTTCACAGCCACCACRTTCACCACGGTGCAGTGGGGACGCGTTCCTGATGTTGCCAACACCACCACATGCCGTGACAGGGCTTCCTTTCRTCCTCTGATTCCCCCGCACTGGGAAATCCTGATAAATGCAGCACTGAGGCTCATGCACTTGCATGCTTCAGTGCTTTGCTGCGCAAATCCCTACTGAACACGCCAAGCTTTCCGTGGGGCTGCTAGGGAGGCAGGAAGCAATCAAGCACGGAGCAGTAGGGGAGGCTGTTTGCACCCGCCAGGCAACCACAGTAGTGCTTGCAAGGGAGAAAACAAGGTTGCTTCTGTTTTTCCTGTGTGAGATTATATGGGGATGTCTGGAGGCAGCAAAATGCCCCAAGTCAAGCACAAACACGGTGCTTACTTGACACGGAAGCTCTGCTATTTTTTCTGTGGTGCGTGCATGCTGCTAATGCTGGACCTAGGATGGAGAATTTATGAGTCTCTTTTATGTAATTCTTTGTAATCATACTGGGAATGAAGTTGCACACTGAGCTTTTCTAGAGTTAAGTGTCTGCTTTCAGACTGAATGTGTTAGCTAGGATCTGCAGATTTGCAGACTGTTCTGCTGGAATACAACCCTTCCTCTTGTATTCATGGGGTGTCAAAGGCTCCAGACAGCCTCCATTTATCAGGAGACTGAGGCCCGGAGCTAGCCTTGCACCTGAGCATGCGTCCCTTCAAATAGCTAGGCAGTCACGTTGGCTGCAGTGGGGAATGTATTGATCTGAAAGCAYAGTTTGATTTGAACTGWTTTTTTTTTCTATTTCCTTTTCCATTTTTGTTCAGAGTTGTCTGGCATAAGATAATCTGCATCTGCAGTGTCAGCAGTGACCAGGATGTTAAGGTAAAAGGATTTCTAGAACATCTGGAACGCAAGATTGTAGACCAGCTTCTGCAGAAAATCACATCTGAAGTCAAGGTATGGGAGACCCTTGTTAACACTGATTATTTTTATACAGATGTCCACTTCATTCTCATGTCCTGATTTGGAAAGCATAAACTTCAAGCTTCAAGTTTTAACTTCAAGCTCTAAATTCCCTTTTACCTTGCCTGAAGCTGGATCTTGACAGCTTCATCTTTTCCAGTTTCTGTAATCCCAATTCCACTGTTTGCTATTATGCTAAAAGTGAGCAATCTGTGCTGCCCCTGGGGAACCAGACCCCAAYGACTGAACATTAGTGGTATCTGCTCCTGCCCAACGGCTGGGCATCTTCTCAGGGGTGGAGATAATTCACAGAGACCAAGGCTGTGGTAAGCAGTCCGGATTCAGAGAAGGTAGTTCAGGAATTGATCCTTCTCTTGGAAAAATKCCTTTCCCTTCACACTTTCTAATGTCACATATTTAGCCCAGATGCCTACCTTAATTTCCTGGCTTCCCTCTCTAGATAACAAAGAACTGAATATATCTAATAGTGTGCAATGTTKTATGTGCCCTTGGGGAGCTCCCCAGAGCATTCCCAGAGCATTGCCATTGCACAGTTTTGCTCAAACATGCTGAAGTCATTGGAGGAAAAATGAAGGAACACTGGTGATACTATTCTTTGAATAAAGGCACAAGATGCTGCAGCTTGTTCAAGACTATCTGAAAGCAAAAACAAACAAACAAATAAATAAATAAATAAAGAGCAAATGCACATTAATCCATGTCTGCAGCCTGTGGGAAATCTCCAGATATTCATCATTTGATTGTGTTTGTCTCTTTCTTCAGAGAGCACTGAAGGATTACTTCAAAAACTGTGACAGCGGTTTAGGTGACATCCTTGAACCATTAAAGAAAAACTTTTTGGCCTTTAAATGGAAAAATGCAGCCATATATGAGGTAAGAAATAAGTAAGAAGGTAAGAATCACAGAATCATTTAAAGGTTGAAGTTGGAAGGGAGCTCCAGAGACCACCTCATCCAACTCCTCTGCTCAAGCAGGTCCACCTAGAGGACATTGCACAGGGCCTTGTCTAGACACATTCTGAAAAACTGCAAGGAGGGAAACTCCACAAACCCTCTGAGCTCCCTGTCCCCAGATCATTCCCTGCTGAGCTACTTTCCAGCAGGGCACCTCCCAGCCTGTGCTGGGGCATGATGTTATCCTCTCTGGGGCATGATGTTATTCCTCTCTGTGTGCAGGACCCTGCACTTTATTGAATTTCATGTGGTTCCTCTCTGCCCATCTCTGCAGCCTCTGTCCAGGTCCCTCTGAACAGCTCTGTGGTGCTCCTAGCTTCATATCCACAGCAAATTTACTGAGGGTGTGCTCTGCTCCTCCATCCAGGTCACTGATGAATAAATTGAAGAGTACTGGCCCCAGTATTGACCCTTGGGGGACATGACCACCTACAGGCCTGCAACTAGACTTTTTGCCAGTGATCACTACCCTCTGAGCTCTGTCATTCAGCCACTTCACCTCCCTGCCCTCTCATCTAGCCTGCATTTCCTGAGCTTGCCTCAGGAATGAGGCAATCTGAGGATGTTATGGGAAGTAATGTTGAGAGCCTTACTGAAACAAGATATTATTCAGGAAATCACTAAAACAAGTCTTTGAATCTCTGGATTACACAGGATTTTAATATTAATCCAGATCAGCATTTTGTCTATCACTGAAATGGGTTTTACATATCTAATCATTGATGCCAAGTTCCACAGAGCTGAATATCTAACTCATTGGGATAGCTAGAACATTTGCTGTAATGTTAGCAGAGAAACCAAGAAATGAAGGGATAAGGAAACTGAATAGATCTCCCAAACACAGAGGGGGAACTTTGGGCTGTCTRTGATACTGCCCTGCCCCCAGTACAYTTATACTGGGAATTGTCTCTGCTTCTAATGTGCTTCAGTCTCATGTTGGACGTRTTGTTGTTACCTGTGCATGTCCTACTAAGTACTGGGTTCCTTTTCTCTTAGCCACACGGGTCTGCAAGGACATTGTCAGTACTGATTTTAATTAACATTTTATTGACACAAGAAAATCTGGAAAAAGTAGTAGAACAGAAAAAAATAGGAGCTATTCTGGTGCTATTGAGAGCCTGTCACTGTACATCATGTCACATTAGTGCTGGGGCAAGCAGAAACTCAGTGGCAGAGTGCTAGGCCAGAACTGTCTGTCTCGTGCTTTGTCTGTTTTGGACAGGGCTGGGGATTTCCTGTACCTTTGGACTGCAGCCTAAAACTGTTCTGATTTCAAATGCTAATGCAAGTGTGTTTTCTGTGCAATGTCCCATCTTCCCTCAGGGAGGCTTTTTCCCTCTCTCCCTCCCCATCAGGTACCGCATGGTCTCAGCACTGAGGTCCCTCAGTAGGTTGWGGAGTCTCAGAAATACCCAGGAGACTCACTCTGGGCCCAGTCACAACCCTGTGGCCAAGGGTAAAGCCCTGGGATGAGCTAGGKGACATGTCCCAGGTAGGCTGGATCTTGCTTTGTCTATAGTCCGAGCTGTCCTAAAGCTATGTGGTTGTTAGTTTGGGGCTAAGCCAAGTCTTACTTTGCTGTTCAGGAGGGTGTGACCTATGGCAAAGTTAACTGGTGCTATTGTTTTGTTGGATGTGTCCACTCTTGTCAATGTCCAAGTCATCCCCATACATCTTGGAGGTACTCCATGTGTTAGACAAGGCACAGAACAATGTTAGACATGTGTTAAAAGGACAGAAAAGGGGGGACCCTACCTGTGCTGGCCAGAGTCCTAGGTTAGGCCTAGGCCTTTTAGCGCGAAAAATAATCTAGGCTTCTTTTTTCTTCTGGAACAGGTCCTTGTCAAGAATGTCCATGACGTCATTATTAGAGAATATGCACAGGCTCTTCTGACCATTTCCAAGAAACCATTATGTGGGCAGAGGAGAAGAATTGTCAGCAGGATAGAAGAAGATCATAGGATGCTGCAAACCATCGTTACAGAGTGCTTAGTAAGTCTTTGATGTGGTTAATGCCTGTACTCTCCATTATTAAGAGCAGTACCAAAAGAGGAAAAGACTCTGAAAACAATAGACTAAAGAGGTCATACCACAGTGGTATCAGCTTCACAGAAATGAAAATCTGATGTGCTGGAAGACAGCCCTTCAAATTTGCAGAAACTGTTAATTTGTATTTTTGAAATGTGTGAATGGAGGAGGCAAGATTCACACTCCTGCCACTGAAATAAGAAGAGGCACGCTCTTCTAAGCTGGGAAGACAGCTTTAGAGCTGTCAGCTTCCTGAGAAGAGCCTTCTGTACCTTGGCATGACAATGAGGAAGAGGAAAGGCCGTCTCAGGCCTAGCGTTTTCCCTGGAATCTCTGTTGTACTCTTGGCTGTGTGATCCCTTCCAGGGCTATGAACTGAGTTGGCCCCTCCAGCTGGTCCCTGCTATCCCCACAGGCCTTTCCTAATCTACAAGCTGGTGGTGGCTGCCACCACCCCAGCCCCTTAGAGAGCTGGGCTGGGCTGTGTGAGTCAGAGCCATTTCCGTGCATTATAGTGGTTGCCATGAGGGTGGAAACACATTGATGCTGTTGTGGTTGTGGTCCTCCACTGGCGTGGAGGAGTGAGTCTTCRTGAGGAGGCAAACACCTCACATGGTTATGGGGTAGACTGAAAAGAGAGCCACACCACTGAAGAAAACCCGGGTAAAAATGCTAGACCTGATTTGCAGAAGCCATTTAGAAAAGCSTCTTTACTTAGTTCATAATCCCCATGTAACTGACAATTACACAAACGGTGCCTGCAGATGGCACTGCACTATTGCCTGGTTTCCTTGGTTATCCAAGGGCAAGGGCTGCCATGTGGACAGCCCATCCTGAGACTGCTCCAGCATGAGACTCATCCGCCACACAAGGGGCCCTCTCATGGCTGCTTTTGCAAATGTGGGCTGTGAGTGCCCCTAAGCAAGTTGTCTTGGGCACTGCAGTAGTGACTGAGAAGATTKTCTGGACGGTGAGACAGGATGCTCTCATATGACACAGCAGATAGGAACCCTACCTTTATGGGTTTWAATATTTTCACAGATATGAGTCATTCTCATGAATGTGCATCTTGTCCATTTAAGTGCTTGCTATTAGGAATCTATTTTCTCCCAAGAGATACCTCCTATAAGTTAGTTATCAGTAATTCTGACTGTCAAAAGAATAAAATGAGGTAAAAATAATCACTTGTAAACTCCTCCTAAAATCTCTTGTACCTCACAACTCACCCACGACTTTTATAGAGGAAAGATGGAAGTTCCCAGTGCTTTTAGGTAAAGGCTCACTTTTCCTAGGGTGATCAATCACAGACAACTTAATGCTTTGAGAAATCAAGCTGGAATAGCAGGAGGAGTCTCTAATTTTTAAACTTTAAGCTTACCAGTAATGCTGTGCTTAGCATTACCTTTGGATGAAAAGTACAAAGAAAGTCGAAATTTATAGTGTGATGAGATGTGGGAAATCTTATTAAACTCTACGTGATACTTTGGTGAAAAAGCCTGCATCTAATCAATCTRGTTTCCCTTGTGTGCCCACTCTGTTCTCATTCTTGATGTGTGAGCACTGGAAACCTTGAGGAGGGAATGCATAAGCAATTTTCAGGGGACAGCCTCAAGTGAGGTACATGGCTGCGCATGCAAAATATGTRCTCTGTTGTAGACTGAATTTATTGTGCAGTTGTTGCACAGGCTGCACCTGCTCCCTGCCCTGCTCTGTCCTCTGWCCAGCCTCTCTTCCTGTCACTCTGTTCTCAAAACGCACGTGGAAACACCCTGCTTCTCCCTTAAAAGCAGTAAAATGTCAAAGGCARCTAAGCACGTCTGACAAAACAACTCTTGTTTGTTCCTCCAGATTGCAGACCGTTTACCTTAGACCTTTCCTGACTACATAGCGCTTAACAAAATCTGGCACCTTCTAGTTAATTAACATTTACTTTGTGAGCTTGCCAAGTATGAAGTCTTACAGTATTAATGCGCTGGGAGCAGAATACAGCTTGCTCAGTGCGCAGAGTTAGACACRCTGAGTGCCTGCAGTGCGGAGGAAGAGAGGGAAGGCTGTCTTCAAGCATTACTATTATTTTTAATTTATGTTCTATGCGGCGATGAGCTGAAGCGAGAAGCCAGCCTGCTGTTTCCAACACCCTGTGGAGATCAGGGGAACCAGGGCTTCTCCCGACCTAGTTTGACAGCCTGTTCTCCAGGTTTGCTTTGTCACAGGATCTCTGTTGACGTGATGGCATCAATAATTCAGGCTAGCAATTTAACTGCATTACCACACCAGCAAAAATGTGAGCAAGATCTGAAGCTCTCTCCTGGCAGTGCATCCGCATTCTTCTTTCCCGAGCTTTTTTCAAAAAATCTGCATTATTTCTTACTAGCTTTGTGAAGCTTTACGCTGTGATGTGCTTTAGTTTAGAGTGAGCTGATCATACACAGCATCTACCAGCCATACTGATGTCCTCATRAGGTCCAGCCCCGCTGCTTCTTGTTATTCAGCTACAGGATATGTGTCCCTTCACCCCGTCCTGCAGGTCACTTGGCTGTCCYGGGGCTGCTCCACGGCTGCAGGAATGCTGCCAGCCAGCACCGCTTGGTTTCACAGAGGCACAGGGGCTGTTGCTTGTTCGGGAAGGGAAATCACTTCCTGAAGAGCTAAATGGATTTTTAGAGGAGGGATGYGTAGGGGAAGGCCCATTTCACTAAAGAAAACACAGGAAGGGATTCTGAAGTGTGGAGGGTAGTTGCTGAACTTCCCTGCAAGCAGGCTGGTTACACTCCAGTTTCTTTTCTCTTACCTTGCAGGGAAAACATGCTCCTATGCCTGCTCATACAGCGCTGCACAGCTACCACTATGCACAGTGAACACCCCATCTCTTAACATTACATTCTGCTTCCTTTACCCTGAATTCATCTTTTCTTCTGTCCCCAGGGTCCTAAAGCAGATTCCCTCAAGGATCTAATAAAAGCAGTCTTAGAGCTTATTCAAACTACTGATTCGGAGGCAATGAAAATAGCCCTAGTGCCCATTCTCAGAGATTTTCCTAATCTAAGGTAAGAAGTTTTGCTTGTTTGAATTATGCAGTTTGTTACACAATTATTTGCCATCAGAAGGCCCATAGCAATGTTAGTCCCATGATATTTTCTCTTTGCTCTGTGCTGGCCCAAGCTGGCCCAAGCACAGTGCTTATGATTCAATGTACTGAATGTAAATGTAGATTCCTTACATCTTTGCCAGTCAGTAATCAGTAAAGTTGGCATGTCTCATTCATAAAGGTAGAGCATGGAGGGAATCTCTCTCAAGAAAGTAGGGATGCTATGGAAAAATACTACCTGAATGGACAGTCTGTAGGCTGCATTAGTGCATTTTGCAGCACAGACACAAGTGGGCCACTCTAGGCCTTTCAAGAGCTTCCCTATTTTGAGCATTTCTTGCAAGCACTTGTCTCTTGGTTTTAATACTTGACTAATGCTTCAGTATAGCTCTCTCAGGTACAACTATTTGCCAATAATCCCAGGTGTGTTCAGGAAGACGTATACACTTCTATTTCTCACAGGAAGCTGATAAAATAAATGAAAGTCAACTTTAATTTAAGAAGATGATATTTTAGCTAGTTGCATTTGTTTCAGAACCTACTGTTTATTACTGCCTTCTTTTGCTCTGAAGCTTTTTGCTGGTGACTGTAGGTTATCAAGTTAATGCGATTGCACTGTAGGGCTCTCTGTCACAGGATGCTGTGACAGGCCAAAAAGTGTGAATAGCTTCAAATGGGGACCAGATAATTGGGGCAGATATTTGTCTTAGTGGCTATTCAACATGACAGTTCCAGCTAAAGAAGACACTAAACTGCAGACTGCCAGAAGCCAAAAATAAAAAAAAAAACAAGACAAAGAAAGATCATGTTGTGCTTGCCTTGGTTCCTATATGTTTTCCCTAAGCATTTTGTATTTTTGAAGACACAGCACTGAACTAAAAAGATGTTTATCTGGTACAGCATAGCAGGTCCTATGGTCTTTATATATGTATGCACATAGGAAATAATCAGGAAAATATTGTTTTGAAGTAGGAGGAGGTCCAAGGAGGTCATCCTGGTTTGAGYAGATGCATTGTTTTTGATTTCAATAGATTCCCAAATGCTTAAAGCTATGTTTGGCTTGGATACATTTGCTCTCTTTGTTAAACAGACTAATAAGCTGTGGTCCCACTCAGCAAAGCAATGCTATGTAGAGCARAAAGAGTATAACCTTCCAAATAATCAAGAAGTAACTCCGTCTGAGGATGGAAAAAATATCAAAAAAGCTTTTAAACAATTAAATCACCCCTAAATCACCCCCTCAAACAACATGACAGATGCCAGTCTTTTTCTAGAAAAGAAAGGTTTTGGTGGCTTTGCTGGGATGCTGCATGCAATGGGACCCTTTATCTTGATTATATCATACAYTGCCAACACAGCTCTTGGACACAGCCTCTTTGTTGTTAGGTGTCCAAAGCATGTTGAAAAGCAGTTTGACAGCTCCCAGACTTTGGTTTGGCCCAATCAAATCGTGTCCTAGAAAGCCAGCTTTTTCCCTTGACTTTTCTACTCATCTGCCATCTAATCCTTTTGGAAAGGAAAGAACATCTGAGTATCATTCTGTACCTCAAAGACTCGCTCAGCCGAGGAGACAGAACTGCTCTCTTGAAGACATTTAATGATAATTATGAGGCAACAAGAACAAACTCGCTTTTTGAAGATATAGAAGTTAAGCCTGGGAGATTTAAACTCTGTTGCTGCTTCTGTTGTTAGCAAAGGTAAGTATGTGAAAGCATGTGCCTGCATMTAACATGTGTGTGTGCCTAGGGTGACATCCCAGCAACACCCCCTGAATCCCTCATAGCAATACAGCCTGCACACTTCCAGATCATGAAGCACCTCGTTGCAGGCAGTGCAGACCTTGCATGATGAGATGTGCCAGGCARGGAACGCAGTGCAGAATGGATCAGGCTCATCCTCCCTGTCCTTGGCCCCTGTTTGGGGGTTGCTGCAGCAAGACCTCTCCATTCAGCCTTTCCTCCCTCTCTTGGGAGCAGCTGCAGCTGCAGGTGCAGGAAAAGGGTTAAGTCAGAAGGATGACCACCACACTGATGTCTTAAACTTCCYCAGCATTAATAGAGCACCTATAATTCTGTCCTTTCCGACATCCTTCATATTGTGACGCATTACAGCCCAGTTCACAGGTTCATGGGTCTCAAAATCACCTGGCACCTTTGTAGGTGGTTACATCTGTCCATTGATTTTCCCATGTGATTCGTTCACAGTCACAGTTTTGTTGTTTTGTTTGAGTTGCAACAGATCTTGAAACTAAGTAAGGCCTCATAGTTTAACTGGACTCCACTCTTGGTGGAGCAGGTATAGCTGTTTGCCTCACTTGAAATAATCTGCAACTTCTTTTTTTTTTTTTTTTTTCTAAATCTGAATTTCTCCAACTCCAGCTCATAGCCAGAAAATTTTGTTTTATCTATGCCAGGCCAAAGCCCTTTGCTATCAAAATATCTCTGTTAATGTTTAGAGGCTGGCAACGGTTAGCCCCTAACTTTTGTCCGCTAAGCTGATTAGACCCAGCATGTCAGGTTAAAAATCATAGTCCCTTTCCTCGTCCTCTGCTCTCCAGTGTCACCATTTATTTATAGTTCCCATGTTTGCATTTCAGGAACTTAGTCACTTAGCCTCCTCATTGATGAAATTCCCTGTGCAAAGAGACTCCCCAGTCCCACAGGTCCCAGTTGGGTCTCCACTGCACTGGGTCACCTCTGCAGCCCAGATCCGTAGTTTCAGCCAGGCTCTGTAGYAGCACCTGTGAAATCGGTGGTGGCACTTGCTCATGGGAAGCACCTCTTCCTCTGCCCTTCCCACCCCCTAAATTTYGTGTGATGCCTGCAGGGGTGACCTGCAGATACAGATATTCGTAGGGAATCCACTAATTTCTCCTGGTTGGGAATGCAGCTGTTATGCATATATGTCCATATGCAGAGACAGGAGATCTTTAAAGTGTTATCTAGGGTTGTTTTAAGTCAGGAGCTGACCCCTCAGCCGAGGAATGAGTGGTTTTGATGGGTGTGGGCATAGAGTAGCTAGATGCTGCAGGAGCTCAGGGGTGGCACAACCCAGAACAGTCATGGATGGGACATTTATAGCTGAGAAATGTGTTCAGGAGGCTGTGTGTAGGAAGGAGCTTTCTGCTATTTGACCCTCTCATGTGTGCTGATGAATACTATTTGCTTACACATATGTTTTTTCTTGGTTTTTCTCAGATCTGCTGTGAAAAACAAGAGATGTCTGCCCTGTGGCAGTCCCTGAAAGCCCAGCTCCTTGGGAGCCCCGGCCCAGTGCAGAGAGACTTGTTGTGTGTTTCCAAGAAAGCCACATGGCCCGAATCCTGATCTCCCATGCAGAGGCCAAGTGGATCGAAGYGTAGCCACCTTGCCATGGCATTCCTTAGGGACCGTCCTGGCTGGTCTGCCTGGGAAGCAGCAGTGATGGCCCCCATGCTGGTCTTGACCTTGGGCAAGGCCCCGCCAACTCTCACGTGCAAAGGGCTGGTTTGTCTGGGGAAGAACCAGCCTTTCTCCGGAGTCCTCGGGGCCTGCAGGCAGCCCCGAGCTGTGCTTGGTCCCAAGTTGGCTGTTTGCTCACAGGGACCATCACTGCTGGGCTCTCCGCTGGCCCTGTCAGCAGCAAAGAGCTGCTGCCTCCCAGCCCCGCTCTTCCCATGCGGCCCTTCCTGCTCCCACATGCTCTCTCCCCCTTCTCTCTTGGCCTCTGAAAAGCCCCCATCTTTCTCTTTTTCAGAGGTAGCCATGAAGTTTCATCCAACAGAGCTTCCATAGGAAATATATAAAACCTTCTCTGATGTTTTGGTCACAGTTGTTCTAAAGTTAACTCGTCGGCATTGACATGGCTCCTCCAAATGAGATTTTTTGGTTGCTCTCCTGCTGGACATCTGCATTCAGGGAAGGGTCTATGGCCTCAGGGATGGCTTATCTTTGCGTGGAGAGCCAGCTGGCTGATGCCTAATGCTCTGYGTGCTCCTGGTGGATGTGGCTGATTCTGAGCAGGGTTTCTGGAATGCAAATCTCTCTGTTCTGTGTGGAGCACCAAGCCGTGGAAAGGGTCAATGATGGCTTGTCTTTGGGGAGAAAACCTCGCAGTGGCAGCTTTGCCAATGGCCCTTAATGTGGAAGGATGCCAGGACATTAACTGGGTTGGGATGCACTTTGTCTGGGGCGGATCTCCGCATGCTTCCATGTACCATGGGCCTTAACCTTCCCAGTGTCCCAGAGGGATGCTGGTGGCTCTGGACCTGGAAGCCCCCAGCACACAGTCCCTTTCCCAGCCCTCTACGCCTGGTACCTCCGGGCCTGGTATCCCATTCCCTGGTTTCACCAGGATCCCTTGGCGTCTGGAAGCACCAGGAGCCAGTGACTGCAACACCCAGGAGGTGGGAAAATCCCAACAGCAAAGTAGACATATCTGTGGCCAAGCACTTTTCTCCAGCCCCTGTAATCCCTGACATGTATGGGAATGTCCTCATCAGCTCCAGCCCTGAGCCTTCCAGCTGGGACATGTGGCCTGGCTCTGCTGTGGGGCTGGGTGTGTGCTAAGGAGCAGCATCTCCTGGTGTGTCCTACTGCTCCCCGTGTGACCCACAACTCCCAGTGATAACCACAGCTCCCGGCACATCCCACTGCTCCCAGAGTGTCCCATAGCCCCTGATGCATCCTGCAGCTCCCAGGGCATTCCACAGCTCCCAGTGTATCCCATAGCCAGGCCAGGGGAGAAGCAGAGACCAGGAAGGATACACTACTGGTGCCATCTAGTGGAACTGGAACAGCTGGAAAGGGCCACGGCTCTTTCATATTTATTATTTGTAATTATTTGTTATTATTTGTTATTATTTGTTATTATTTGTTATTATTTTTATGTATATTTTTATTTGCCTTTTTTTGTATTATTATGGGATAGGGCAGGGATCTCTCTGCCTGCAGAGCCCTGTGTATCCTGCTGGGAGCACTTCCCACAGCCTGACACAGCAGCAAAGGATGGCAAGGGAAGTGCAGATGTGAGGCTGGCCTGAGCATCCCTGCAGCAGGGGAGCCCCTGTTCTGGTTCCAGCACGTGCCAGCTTTCGAGTGGCCACTGTATGTGGGGCAGTGCTCACCCTGGGGTGACCACTGTGCTGGACAGTGCTACCTGTCCCTGCTGCCCTTCTTCTGGTGCCTCGGCTTTCTGCAGTGCAGTTATCTGCCGCCGTTTGCTCTCCATGCCCAGCTCAGAGGATGCCGTTGGGCAGCACCTAATGTGCTTTTTGGATCCTCTTTTGGGCGCTTTGCACTGCACCAGGAGCAGCTGCAGGGATTGAGCCCYGGCGTTGCATGTGCCAGCCAGGCTCCTGCTCCGCATGCTCCCCATCCTGGGAGGCTGGTTTGAGGAAAAYGGAAAGATTTGTGAAGAACAAGTAGATATTTCTGCTAGAAAAATAATGGACAATTTTTGTGGGAAAATTGCAGAAGAGAATAAAGAGAAAATCTGCTAGGAGGTGGAGCCACTTCTGTGAGAGCAGGTTTAGTCAGCAGCAAGAATCATAGAATCCTTAAGGTTGGAAGGGACCTTTGGAGATCATCTAGTCCAACCCCCCTGCACGTGCAGGGTCACCTAGAGCACAGGGCTGCATCCAAGTGGGTTTTGCAGATCTCCGGAGAAGGAGGCTCCACAACCTCTCTGGGMAGCCTGTTCCAGGGCTCTGGATSTCCCTCACTGCCAAGAATTTTTTCCCTAAATTCTTGTGGAACTTTTGATGCTTCAGTTTRTAGCCRTTTCCTCTTATCCTATCACTGGCCACCACTGAATAAAAAGCTCTGTGTTGGTTGCCCCTTTCTCCCYGCTTCTGGGTCCATTTCCTCTCTTTGCCCCTCAGCTCCACACCTACCAGCTCCCCTTTTCTCTCCAGTGGTCTGACTACTGAAGATAAAGCAAATAAATGGAGAACAATTCCCCTCAAGTGTATTTAGCTTTCATTTTGTGGAAACCAAATCAGAGCCCGTGAGCAGAAGCTGTCTGTTTTCTGCAGCTGGCTGATATCCACCTCTGCCTGCCCCCATGGGACTGCCGTGCCGGCCCGAGTGGGAATCTCTGCACTGAGCTGTGCTGAGCAATACCCTATTCCCACCCAAAGGCTGGTCAGGGGTTGTGGTGTCCAGCCTGTTCCCAGCTGGTGTCCCCAGCAGGTTCCCCAGCTGCCTCCCTCGCTCCAGACAGAGCTTTTCTTCTCGCTGGGAGGTGGATTTGCTGCTGCCCGGGACATTATGGAGCACGTACAGCTGCCAACCCCCTGTGCACATCTGTCCTGCTCTACCTCAGTGCACACGCTCTGCACAGGGACCTCTGCTCCCTGCCCACAAGGGCTGCTGCAAAATGGATGACAGTTTGTAAGCAATTAAAACAACTTGGCTGGGCTTGTATCAGCTGTTGGGGAAAAACAAAACACATTTCGGGAATGCAGTGTTTTCAAGGAGCCAGAGCAGCAGGGGCCTAATGAAATGGTGTGCTATAGCATAGACTTTTTCAGGGTTTTGTAAAGATTTGAAAGCAAATCCTCTCCAAGTGATTGCCACTGACTTGTCTTCTGCACGCTGGTCGTCTTTGTTTCCAACAAAACAGGCTTGTGCTGTGCTGGAGGATTTGATTCCATTCCCCCAGGAAAGACTCAGCTCTCCATTTCCACATATACTGGCTGCATTCCTTACTTTGGGGGAAATAAGTGCTGGGCAGCAGGTGGAAGGTGAGGACGTCGCTGGGGGTTTCTCTGTGCTTCGTGCAGGTGACAAACGACAGCRTCACGGGGCTGCCGGGGCAGAGCATCGTGGCCAGGCCGAGGGGGGCTGYGTGATGGCAGCTGGACGTCACCCCTTCATCCCTTGCATGGCACGTGGCTAACGGCACCATGGGCAAGACGGGAGCGTGGCAGTCTAGGGACACCGCTGATGGAGACACTGCGCTCGAGGGGCTGCCCGCTGGCTTTCCTCAGCATGGGCTCTCCTAAGGGCTGGGTGCAGGCTTGGAGAGCACTGCGCAGGGCTGCGCTTTGCAAAGCTGCTCATACACCCGCCGTCTGGAGGGTCTCCCATGGCGGAGACCATAGCTGGCTTGGCGGCCAGCTATGAAGGCAAGTTCTGCTAGAGCAACCACTCACACCTCCTCGTGCTCACGTACTTGCCCTTATCAGGGTGACAGTCACATCAGGTGTTCTGGAGAGCAGGAGCCCAAAGCCCTGTAATTCCCTGTCTGCATTTCGTTCTCTCTGGCATTGCAACGCGGGCAACACAATAGCAAGGCTGAGCACGTGTGAGCGCCCATCTGTGCATGCAGCTCTGCACTGTGGCCACCCAGGACACCCCTATCTTGCACAGATGYCCCCCACCCCATGGCATCCACAGGGATGCACAGCCCTTTCCTTGGCAAATTCAGCCCTGTCCTTTCTTCCCTCACCCAAATGATACCCAGTGTGGTAGGACTTGGAGACCTTACTGCAATCCTGAACGTTTCATGTGAAGCTTTGGATTAATTGTTTTCCACAGCATGTCCAGACCCTTGGGAGGTGGCCCTGGGCAGCTCCTGGGACACATGGGTTATGGCCCCAAAGATCCTCCTTTTGAGCAGCAGCACACACAGAATTGCACAGAAAGAGACTTCTCACCTGCAGATAAGCAGGCAAAGGTGAGACTTTGCCTATCCTGGAAGGGTAGGACTCTGGACTGTGGGCACTGCACACTTCCTTGCACACAATTACGTCACATTTTCAACAGGCCGAGCTGTTTGTAAGACCTTGTTTTTCCACCAACCCCATAGCAGTGACTACCCCAGCAGAAGGTTCTCCCCCAAAGAGCAAGTCACTGGTTCGGCCTGGAAAGTGATGGAACATTTGCTTTTGATGTGAAATTGGAAACAGCCACTAGATGGGGATAAAAACTGGTAAAACATCTGGAGCTCTGCACAGCCAGGGCTCGGCAGAGCCTACTGAAGCCTCATCCTTTGCTGCTGAAGTGAAGGGAGAGAAAGATGACTTTAATTAACTTGTTTCTTGAAATAAAGTGACGTTCTTGGATTTTAAAAGCATTGCTTTCCATGTGAGGTGTTGGCCATCACCAAGTGTGATGTGGAAGAGCTCCAAAGTTCTCCTGGGCAATGTCATGCAGCCAGGCAACAGGTAGGATGCTGCAAGCTCYGGAAGGAGTTTGCTTGGTCTTGGCAAGCTGCCCGTGGGGCTCAGGATASGGATC